AAATATATAAGAAAGGCCTTTTCTTTATTAAATTTTATAGATGCTTTTATCCATTATTACAATTGTTCTTACACTTTGATAACATGCATGGTAAAAAATCCTTCAGAATCAATAGAGTTTCTAATGAGAAAGCTTCTTCTTATGATCAGTATCATCATTGTAATAATCAAGATCATAGATTAATATCTCTAAGAAGTCTAATTAGTAATCGAGAATGTTCAACATGTCGAGATCAAAGAAGACGACGTTCAATTTTTTGTGAAGTTAATAGAAGCCGTTCGACCTACCGAAATACAGGAAGAAGACGTTCAGTTTCATATGATGATGATAGAGACCATTCGACCCACCAAGATCTATGTCCAATTCTTTATGAAAACAATAGAGGTCGTTCAACCCATTGAGATCAACATTTAATTCCTCATAATGATGATGATGATGATGATAGAGAACATTCAATTCATTGAGATTCACATTCAATTTCTTATGATGATGATAGAGAACGTTCAATTCATTGAGATTCACATTCAATTCCTCATGATGATGATGATAGAGAACGTTCAATTCATTGAGACCTAGAAAGAAAATGATCAATTCTCTGTGAATACAATAGAAACTGAAGTCAGGAAAGAAAGCGTCCAGTTCTTTATAATTCACCAAGATGGTCTGATGATAGTAACGGAAGTTTGAGCAGAAGTTTTAGACTGTACAAAAATTCAGAAATAAATGGTAAAATTATTAATTAGATTGTTAATATGAGAATAACTTAAACTTTTACATTTTATATTATATGTAATAGAAATCGAAACAATAAATTTAACACTTAAACATTTGATTAAAGAAGTCGAAGTTTTGAAGAGCATGCTGCAAGTTCAGTCCACATGTCTTAATAAAGGTAAAGGATCTGTAACTCTGGAATCACCAGAAGGATATGTACGAAGATCTTGTCTAATACTCGAAAAGATGTCTAATGAACAATTCAAGATTTTTAGGGTATATTAAATTTAATATTCCAGAACGAATAAGTCGAGGTTAATAATTTTATTTATACTTATTTAAATTTAAGACGAAGTTGTGTTAATACTTAAAGAATTTGATGAATCATTAACGCTCGACTATAAACAGTAATGGAGTGATATCTCTCAATATGTTTCAAGAAATATTATGCCAGCGATCGATAGGGCATTAAAAGAAAAAAACTTTGTTTACACTAAATCAGAGTTGAAATATGTCTTACAACAGCTTCATCGGCATCATCATGAAAGTTAGCAAATTTTGTTAAATGAGGTAAATCAAAATCAGATAAAAAAAGAAAGGGTATCAACTCAAAATGTTCAGAAGTAAGTATATTAAATATATCATGTATCAGATCATGATATGGCTTATTTAATTTATTTGTTTTAATTATTTAAGAAAAAAAAAAGGTGACAACGTGATATTATACACATGTATAATACCAATGATGAGACCCTAATAGATATGAAACCTAATTCAATAACTGATAATGATTATCAAAAAAATCTCAAAAAAATTCTCACAGATGGTAGTTATCACTCAGATGAAGTATCAGAAACTGATGAGAAAAGAGCAAGAGAGGAAATTGCTTAACATCTTCGACCAAAAAATAAAACCAGTAATAATATGCATGTTATTCATGTATATGATAAGCAATAGCATTCACAAAGAATAAGTAAATAAATTTATTTGTTTGTCTTTACTTTTTTTCCTTTTTCTTTTTTCTTACTTTCATTTTTTTTTTATTATTTATTTACAAATTATCATTAATATTGTTGTAGATAAAAAAATTCTCTGACGAGCTGATCAAATTGACAAATTAGTATAATACATCAAAGTTCAAAGAAAGAGATAGTACGACGACATCATCTATAAAGATAACTCAATTCCGCCAGATGATACTTCTGAATGGGCTATTTCAAACTCGTATAGTTCGTATAAAAGGGAGAAGAAAATGGGTGATATTAATGAGTGAATTAATTGTCTTATCATAATGATTAGCATATTGGATTTTTCGAAATGAGTAGTAGTAATAATAATATGTAAAAATAAAATTGCTTAATAAATATTATATATGTAATAAATAAATAAATAAATAAATAAATACTCAATATTTTATATATAATATGTATACAAATAAAATATTCTAATATCAGAACCCTTATTTTAAACAATCATACAATAATTATGAAGGCATTATTGAAGTATCATTGTGATATCAGAGTATCTGATATGTGTGTTGATATTGTATGATATTTAATACTCAATATGTAACTTATATTTAACTTTTCCTGCCAAATATATGAGAAACATCAGGATTATCAATCATATAGATATAAGGCTATAATCATAGACATATCAGGTGATCATCAGGTGACTGATATGTATTTGTTATATTTTCTTTTGACCTGTGTGATAAAACTCGATTAAAATAAGACTAAAAAGTACGAGTTGTATTGGGTATATGGATTGGAGTGGGGGTAAGTAATTCTGCTTTAAGTAAACTTGCTAATATTTCTTATTCAATAATTGGATTAAGCGATTTTGTCTATAATTCAATCTGATATTTGTATTTATATTAAATAATTGATTATATAGAGTATAAAGGTTACGATACAAATATTACCTCTAATTCATTACATAACCACAGAGTTACATTTGTGCATTCAGATACTCTTAACATAGCTTTTTATGCTCTAAATTCACGATTACTAAAATTATATTTTTGTGGGTATATTTTTTTCAAATTAGACTTTAATTCAATTATTGTAATATTTGATTCAGTCTAGCTAATAAAAAATTGATGCCAATTAACATTCGCCAATGTTCTTTTTTTTAGGTGATAATCAAAAACTGATTTCATAATTGATTTATCCTGCCAATCTTCAGGTTTATAAATAGGAACCCGATGCTCTTATATTAGCTATTGGATTATCAGATTATCTAAACTTAAAAGTTGAGTTCCATTATATTTTTGAATTTGTTCTACTTTTTTCCAAACATCATCTGGACTAACATCAATAAATCTTTTTTTTAATTGAAAATTTTGATAAATTTCCACAATACACTTATTATTTTCAATTCGTGATATAAAAATTTCCTGTTCTTTTTCAAATATATGAACAATTGAAGATTGAAAATCTGATCCTGCATATCTTCATTTTTCATTTAAAGAACAACCAATAGCATATAAAAAAATTTTATATTTTTCAGTTAAACACATTACTGGGAAAAACTCAACATCATTTTTTAGTGTTTCTAAAATATTTTTATTATTCCAACCCATAATTCCATGACCAGAATATCATGTAAATTCTTGAATATACTTGCATATGCTGTTAAAATTACTTTTGTCAGACTAGTTTCAGTTACTTCAATTTGACCACTTTTACAATAATATTCTGGAAGAGTTAGGCTTCCTGTT